TTTTAGTAATTCCTCTCAGTTACATTGCCCTTGATCAAGCCCTACCAGGCCTCCTACACCCTCCTCGCCATTGATTTTAGATCACTTGTTGTTCCCTTGTCCCTGGATTTGTTAACACCCACTTCCTTCCCCCACCCGTTCCCCCTCTCCCATATCCACCCTTGGAACCATCAGCCCTATTGTTTTCTCCTCCAGATTGTTTATCCCGCTTATCTTATCTAGATAAACTTGCAGAGATAATAATATGCACAAAAACAAGACAGCAAAACAAAGCAACAAAAGAACAATAACAAAAACCAATGACAGAAAAGCCTGTAAATAGTTCAAGGTCTGTTTGTTGACCTTTAGGAGTGTTTTCCAGTAGAGTCTGATGGGGTGCCACGCCCTGGCCCCACAGTCTATTTTTGGTATTCCCCGGGGACTTCATTGCTTTGCTCCCCTTGCTGTTCTGTTGCACACCCTTAGTGTTTTGCCTCGGTGTGGTGGGGTCAGATTGGGCACAATTCCCACACTGTGTCTCCAGTGTTGTCCCCCAGTAGCACTCTGAGTCAGTGAGGGATGTCGTGTCTCATGGTAGGGCTGGCCCTATGGTCCTTCTTCTTTGTGCATTGGCTGTGCTGAGCAGGGATATCATCCTTGGGGCTTGGTGGGTGAACAGTTCGTTTTTTATGACATGGCCCTGCTTGATGCTCACCCTTATGAAGAAATCACTGAAGAGATGGTTGCTATAGCAAAGTGTGGTGAAGAAACTAGATGTTGCCTGCTAACAGGACAGTGTCTGGAGTCTTGAAAGCATGTCTTCCAACAAGCAGCCATCTAAGGGAAGCATCAAATAAGCCCACACAGAAGAAACACACCAGCCTGTGTGATCCAAATTCATAGGAGGGAACGGAATCAGAGCTTAAATTGTGAACATCTGGTTTGCAAGAGGCTATGGATGAAAACAAAGATCCACACGTGGGTTAAGCCTCTGGTGATTTCCTGACGATAGTTGAAGGGTGTAAATAACCTTGTTGTCAGACAGAGAGCATGGTAAAGCTGATCATAGCAGATGTAGTTAGGTTAAAATGTCATATCCCAAAGCCCATCTGTAGACAACTGGACATCCCCTTACATAAGGGTCGTGGGGAGGAGATGAACCAGTCAGGGTGCAGTGTAGCAACGATGAAACATACAACCTTCCTCTAGTTCTTAAATGCTTCTTCCCCGCCCCACTATCATGATCCCAATTCTAGCTTACAAATCTGGCAGTACAGGAACCGGAAACACAGGGAATCCAGGACAAATAATCCCTTCAGGACCAGTGGTGAGAATGGCGATACCGGGAGGGTGGAGGGAAGGTGGGGCAGAAAGGGGGAACCAACTGAAAGGATCTAGATATGACCTCCTCCCTGGGGGATGGACAACAGAAAAGTGGGTGAAGGGAGATGTCAGACAGTGTAAGACATGACAAAATAATAATAATTTATAAATTATCAAGGGTTCATGAGGGAGGGGAAAGGGGTGGGAGGGAAAAAATGAGGAGTTGATACCAAAGGCTCAAGTAGAAAGCTAATGTTTTGAGAATGATGATGGCAGCAAATGTACAAATGTGCTTGACAATGGATGTATGGATGTACGGATTGTGATGAGATTTGTACGGTCCCCTAATAAAATGATCTTTTAAAATCATTTTGATCTCCTTTTTGACACATTTTAAAGTTGTTTCTGTTTTTGTTTTTGAAGTGAAAGAGAAAATACACATGGAGTAAGCCTCCGGTGAATCCCCTCTGACCTAGACCAGGGGTGTGCATAGCCTTGCTAGCAAGCAGAGTGTATGGAAAATGGATTATTGCAGATACAGTTAGATTGACATTTAACATCCAATCATTTGATCTCCCCTTGTCTGATTTTAAATTTGTTCACATTTTTAATAGTGTTTGGTTTCTTGTCATTTGAAGTTTTTCTCTGTTTAACATTGTTGTCCTTGTTAGTTGGGGTTATGGTGGTATGTTTTTCTATATATGAAATCCAGGATATATAAATCTATAGAGATGGTAAATAGGTTAATGGTTTCATGGGAGTATATCAGGGAGGCTGGGGGGAAACAGGGAGCTCATAACAAGGAGTATAAAAAAGAAGGAAATGTTTGGTGATGATTGTACATCTCATCTAAATATGGCTGAATTATGGAATTGTAGGGCATGTGAATGACATGCTGGGAACACGGTTTTTCAGAAAGCAGCCACTAAAAGCCCCGTGGAGCCACAGCCCCTCTCAAAAGGCACGGAAGGGCCATGAGTTGGAATGGGCTCAACAGCAGCAAGTGTGGGTTGTTGTTGTTGTTCTCAAGGTAAAGACACTCCATTGGTTCGGATAATGGGCTGCTCTCTTCAGGGCTCACTGTGCACAGACTGAAGTGGCACCGATGGCTCAGACTAAGAAAGTGACCCGGATCCTAGTTTGGTTACGCAGACCCAGATCGAGGGCTGGTCCTATTTTGATGGTGACGATGATCTTGGTAGAACAAAATCAGACCCAGTGTCACGAAGTTGATTCCAACTCATCCAAAAATAGTTACTG